TTACTTGTTCTTCGACGTTATTATCGACCGGTGCCGCAATCTCGTTGGCTGCGGAGGTATAATGAGATGCTCGGAAATAGCCACGCCCTGCATTTCTTAAGCTATCAGTGGCTGTCTCGTTCCTCCTCTTTATCAGTATAATATTTTTTTGGAAAGGAAGAGGCTAAGAGGAGGACAAAATGAATGGTACATCCTTTGGTGGATCCTTACATAATGCGTTAGCATGACCCTTGGGAAACGCCACGCCTGTCATTCTTTGGGAAACGCTTACGCTGACCCCTACACTTTTCTCTATTATGGCTTTCTCTTTGGCTTCCTCTATATGTTGCTGCCTCTTTTTGGCTTCGTCACGAAGTTAGTGTCACCGTCTACCAGGGGGGAGGGGGGGGGGGGGGGGGGGGGGCGTGTGTGGCGCTTCCCAACGGTCATGCTAGCGGATTCCATAAAGATTCACCAATGGATCTTCTTTGATTTTTTTTTTCCAGCGAAGCGGGATCGGCGAGCCCACTTCGCCCCAGCCTTTGTCGCAGGCAGACCCGCGTCGGCTTGCCGCTTTTTGCGCCGCATTTCGGCCAGCCGAGCCAACACCACCCAGACAGAAGGCCTCCGCATGGTTTCCTCTTCCTCTATGAAACGTCATCACACTCGGATCGCGCTCGGTCGGCTATTGGACCTGAGTCCGACCTTCGACGCACTGATTGGCCACGAGCCGCAGCCGAACACTGACGCAGCACTCGTGCCCAATCTCTCGCCTCGATCGATCTGACTATGATGACGCGTGCGGAGGCTTCTGTCTAGGTGGTGTTGGCCGAGCTCGGCGCTGCTGCCACTCCTCTGCCTCGTTGCCTGCCTTGCACGCTTAGCAGCGGCATTTGGTGCCCGACGGTGCTTTCTCTGTTCACCTGTTTCCCGCGCGCGCATTCGCTTTTTCCTCGTGACATCGCCCCCTCTCGCCTTTGCCCTTTACTACTTTCCTCCTCTCTACGCGGCGCGCCTCTCTTTTCATTATCTTGTATCCGGACGGACGGTGTCAGCATTTCGCTGCCATGTAGGTGCTAATGCTAACGCATTAATATAACATCGCGAAAGGGACCAAGGACTGCCTGAAACGCGTGTCCGACTGGCGTGTTTTGCGTCCTATTCCACCCACGCATCTAAAGTGGACCCGAAGTGGCAACAAATGACGTCACAAAAGCCGGAGTGTCACGCTGTCGGATGTCGCGATCCTGGCGGTTGGGCGTAGATGTAGTCTCGAAAAACGCGAGAGAACGGCAGTGTCGCCGTCGTCGCAGCGTCCCAACTCCTGGCTTCTTCCGTGGACTGTCAAGCTTGAGAGCGACCTGCGACAGTACGGGCGCCTGCCACATCGACCACCGCTGCCGCGGTGCCGCCAGGATCGCGACCGGCGACAGTAGGACACTTTTACAACGTCCTCAGGCGGAAATCGAGGAACCAATTTTTTGTACTCACTAAACTCATTAGTTGGAGACGCGTTCCAGTCACCGTACTAAGGGATCATGGAAGACACAATCAAACACAGTGTTGTGACTTCCGCTCTTCTCTGTGTCCTTTATGCCGCTGTTTTGTTTATTCTCATTATGCCTCGACTCGCAGAATTATACACACTTCGCTAAAGGCTAGGAGGTGGTAAAACAATGTACGACTGTTTCAGATCTCATAGAACGCTGAGTAAGCTTTGTCGTCAAGTAATGAGCCCGTACTTACCTGTCTCTTGCTTCTCATTTTTCCAAAAAAGTGAAGGTGACTGCTTCTTTGACGAGTTTTGACAATATTCTTTCTTTATTGAGACATGTGACACTCCACTGTCAGTTAGCTACAGAAGTGAAACACGTAGCGATGAGGAATTCCTACGCAGCTGGTTCGTCCTTCCGGCTAATTCCTCGATGACCCAGATTTGACGTGTTAGTTGATTTTCGATTTCACAAGCGATGACATAAAAAATGCATAGTTTTCTTTTTGTATGCGAGTGAGTGTGTCTGTGTGTGCCCTCATGTGTACTTTTGTCCGTTATGCAGTGCGAAATCAGAGAACCTAAATTATTGATGAATACGTTGCTTGTCTTTTTTTTAGTCTTTCACACTCGGATCAAGTATACATGTTTGGCCCTGGGAGTTCACCACAAAATCACCAGATAACCACCAGAAAACCGATGAAAGGCCATCATGCGATTTCAAATTTATCAACATTTTATATAGCCTCAAAAAATTCTTTTCAGTAAAATTGAGACTCGACATCTCCAAATAATCTAAGGGAAAAACCTGTCATATCTTTGTTACGAAAACACAAGGAAAACAACGTTTGATTAGATAAAAGATTTTGGCACCCAACGTGGGGTGCCACACGTATGTCTTGCATCCGCATGAACAAGGCACTAATGTTGGAAAAGGTAACGTGGGATGTAGTATATTACACTGCAGACGAGGCAAACAACAACAACAACATATCAAAAGAACACTCGCACGCGTGGTGACACGTACAAGTCACGAAATAAAGACAAAAAACAAAACAAAAACTAAGTAAAAAAAAAGGCTCTTCCACGGTACGTTTGTTGCCGAGAAGTGCTCCCTCAACATCGTACGCTGTTGAGGCAGTGAACAGAAGGCACTAGAATTATAACGTCTGAAATAAATAAGGTTAGCGATACTGCACACCACAAAACCGCCCTCACTCAAGGAAGCACTCAGTTCATTCACACCGTTGTGAAGTTTTTCTCAGTAGTGTGAGTACGGAATTGTAAAACATAGATTGATTATGTTCTGCCGACTTTCAACAGATTTTTAGGGCTGAACAATTCCTTTAAAAAAATGGTTCTATTTCATACTGCGTTTGTCGCGTACCACGTACAATTAAATTTAGAAGCTTACGCACATTCGGCTGGTTAGGTTACCGATTAGTAATGCAAAACTATCGGTGCTATCTACTGAAGGTTGAATCTCGATAGTGCTAGTCAAAGATGAACGAACTTACAAAACACTGCTAAATGATCGCGATCATCGAGAAGATTTGTTAAAAAGAAACTACCGGGCAGGAGTGGAAACAGGGGAAAAGAACATGTGTAAAGGCGATTCATAGCTTTATGAAGGTAGACTTATCTATCATAAACCAGCCCGGCTTGCACATTTGATAGCAGCATTAAGAGCTTTGCGTTACTGAAGCACTTATACTGGACAGAATACCAGATAGTTTTGGGAGGGTACATTGGACAATTAATGACTAATCACTGCTCTTTAATGTCAAAAGCCCGTGTGGCGTCATATTCAAATTGTGTAAACAGGTGCAGGAGATCCTTTCAAAGCGCAGTTATTCGCTAATTCATGGACCTTCAAAGCATGCATCGACCCACCGAACCACCGTGAATGTCAAAGGAGAAAGAAAGCTTTGGCAAGTCAACTCCTGGCCATGTTCCAAAGACAACACGGCTTCCGTTGAGCGGGCATCTGGAGCCGAAGACACGCAGTCAAGAGGAAGGTCCCCCCGTCTGACGATGCGGTACTTCGAGGACGTATACCGGGAAGGTGACCGGTATAAAAGGACACGGCGACATAAGTATTCCCTACGGATTTCACAGGAAGTCGGCTGCATGCTTGCATTTTCTACCTGTTGGGGTGCATGGCTAAAGAGTGATTGATTTACATCGATGAAGATGGCGGCAACCTTCGATGTGATGGAGCTACTCTAGGCGCAGCATAATCACCTCAAAGATTCTTGTATGAAGGCTGACAGGTGACGACGACCTTGAAATAATCATTACTCGTGTATATCGTGCGAGATACTATGCTGTTGATTAAATCTGGTCTATTATTTGGCGTTTTGTGTAGGCCGCCTCTATGCAGAGCTGAGATGATTCACCTTCTCGCCATATTTGATTGAACAACGGCTATTCCCAGATATACACTGAGAGTTAAAGAACAATGCATTTTGCGTCTGATTGCCTCACATCAACTGCGAGGTCCAACCAAGCAATAAGTTTAACTTTCAATGTCATCGGGAAAATAGGGTAAGCAATCACACGGAGCGGAACTCTTTGCAGAGGAAAAAAAACAAAAAAACGTGTACATTCTTCATTTCTTTCGAAGCTTGATCTGCTGAAAGAAAACAGAACATCTTGCTCAAGGTTGGCCAGGACTGAAAAGAGGGTTACCGCAACATATCTTTTTTGTACAAGTGGCACCACCGAGATGAGACATAGTGGCGTCTACTGTATGGCTCTGCTGTATGGTACAGTGCTCGAGTTGTCTCCAAACCTTTGTTTTGTTTCAACACAAAGAAGTCTGCACAGAAAATGCATTTGTATTAAAATGGCAACCCATGAGAGCAAAAATGAAGCTCTCGCCTTTACATTTCCTACCTACCGCCTGAATTGGAAAGGTACCGCTAATAGCCCGATCTCACCAGCAATCTTTGTTACACCGCCACTGTCGGCATGCATAGTGGGAGCTGTAGCCCTCCAGCACACGCGATAATCCCGTTGTAGGTCTGTGCGAGCAGAACACGAGGCGGCACGAGCTGTCTCGCGCACTGTCGGCAACTTCCTGTGGACTACAATTATGGCGGCATCAGGCATGCGTGAAACGCTTAGTGAGATCGGTCTATACTAATCTTACACTTCACAATCGGTACACTCTGCAACTGAAGGATACCGTTACAAGCTAGGGACTTGGAGGCAGGGTGCCGATTGTAGCGCTTTCTTCCTTGATTGTTAACTTGAGACTTCTGCTTTTTCATAATGAAAGTTTCACGAGGTGCTGCGAACTCAGTATTTGGCGCCTTGTCTCATCTAGGTGGTGTCGGTACAGGATGGCCAGAAACACCGAACTGTACAGCACGGTGTGCTGAAGAAGTGTGAGCCCCCAAACAGCAACACCAAAGTCCGTTCCAGGCCAATCGAAATGACGATCGAACCCACGTGTCCGACACGGTGACGGAACATCGGAAGAGCACCAAGGGCGGGAGTCGGGAACAGAACTACGGATGCCCTTTCAGAGTTGGAAGTTGTGCATGGAGGTGGAGTATTCGGAGCGGTAGTTGGGCGCCGGTGGTCCCGTCTTTGACCTGGCTGTCCGGTGGGAGTACTCGGAGAACCTTTCCGGGTCGTGAGGCACCGGGGTCAGGCCCCCCGGCTGAGGCATCAGCATCACAGGCTGCAGGTTCATGGACTTGCGGGACGCCGTCGACTGGTTGTCCGCCATGAAGGCGCTGTTCACCTCGCCTGCAAGTTCCAAGGGCAACTTCAGTGGCGCTCCTTTTAGAATCCTATAGAGGAACTTTGCGGCAATTTACGCACAAAACGAACATCTACGATACATTCGAATATGTACTTAGCGATACTAAATGTATTACTACGCGCAAATTTTTATTACAATTAACATTACACTACACCTGCCTGTACCGCACTGTACTGTACTGTACAGATGTACATTATCTAGCTGCCTGTACTGTACTGCACTTGTGATATACATTATATATCTGCCTGCACTTTACTGTGCTGTTTCTGCGATGATATGAATCACTAAACCAAGAACTATGACATCATTTAATTTCAGGCTAGATGCCCGAGCTCATGACTTTTACAGTTGCTTCCCTTTGTGACAGCACTCGCGCAGCCGAAGTGCTTCGTTGCGCAGGAAGCTCGCACTTGTAGCCTTCGAAGCATTCATCTTGAGGCGAAACGAAGCACAGTCGTTTGTATCAAATCTATCAACACTGCAAGTTTTTGCAGCACTCATTAGCATCATGTGATTGCTTGCACATCATGAGGTTTAAGACATTACAATATTAGTCTCGCGAAGAAGAAACAATTTAAAAGGAAGCCAGGGATAACGAGCATTTAGAAAGCACAGGAGAAAATCAGAGTCGCATAAACTTTTCTAGTTATTCGTTGTCGCAAGTGGGTTAAGGATATGAAGAAGGCTCCAGCGTTGGCCTCTCAAACGTGGAGCAATTAGTGAATGTCTTGTTTACTTCATTTTGTTTGTCAGAGTTAGTGGTTGTATCTAGGTTTCAAAGTAATTGAGATGATTCGCTATATTTTGAGGACTATCGACACTAATCGCTTGGGAAGCGGAAATGAAGTAGTGGGAGACCTTGGACGGAAAAGTCGAGCTTTTCATTGCTAGGAATTTGTGAAAAAGTTTGTTTGTCCGCGGATTTTTGTTTACTTCCAACTACCTTCTTAATGGCTTTGTAAGTCTGGATTCCTCTATGTAAATATAAAAAAATAAAGTTTTTCATACGCAGAAAGTAGACAAAGCATGTAGCCAGTAGATATTTAGACGTAAAAAAACCTCGAAATCCCTCGAGCGTTTCAGCATTATATAGACGGAAATTTAGGTAAATCTCTCATTATACGCTTGACAAAGAAGAACAGATCAAGTGGCGCGCCTGCTCCAAACCAACACTTATCCAACGCCATCCAGACTGAACCTGCTTTACCCACAGCTCTACCCCTCACCCACATGCCCAACTGTCAACAGCACCGAGGCACCATCTACCACATGGTCCTGGCCTGCCTGAAACATCCAAAACGACAAGACGCAGCACGGCTTCAAAACCGCCTCAACTCCTAAGAGACGGCCATCAGAGCCTCGGACGCGGAAAATCAACGCCAGCTGGTTATCCTGGCCGATGAGGCGAGCAAGGCCAATGGGACCCCGGACATAGGGGCCACCCCAGGGTGAACACCCGAAGTCATCCTTGATCACCTGAATAAAGTATATTATCTCTCTTTCTCTCTCTCTCTTTGTTTCTCATTGGTTATTTTTTAGGCCTATGATCCTGTCGCATCTGCAGTATATTGTTATATAAACTGTATGGGACATCTGAAAAAAAAAAAAAAAAGGATGACAGAATATATTATGTCACTTTACAGTTGGGGGAAGCTGAGTGCTTCCCCGGGGAAGCATTCGTCCAAAAAATTTTACATTCTAGGGTGCATTTATTTTTCCCGGAGAGTATTCGGAGAACAAATAATTCGAGCGTATTGAAGAGTTTTTAAAATATTAGAATAGATTTATAGCGTTTTTATTCTCACATGTTTAACTTCACGCATAATGGGTTCAGTGTTTCAGGACAGATAACAACTGGAAGCCTATAGCTTAACTGGCCTCCTTCAAAGCTCGTCGATTTACAACTTCAGACAGCTTTCACGAAGGGCATAGCGTGTGCACTTACTTTTTCTAACCTCTGCTTTAAAAATCACGTAAAAATATGTAGAAAGAACTCGAAGAAGAAACTTTTAGCGAAGCTTCGAAATAGCAGCAGTTGTTTCTTAACGGTCGTGGTTCCTTCATTCCCTAAGATAGCCAAGTCCTAACTCTTGCGAAACGTCGGCTTTAACTGAGTTTCCTAAGACGATTCCTATTGCCTTATACTTAGCCTCGCTAAACTTGATTTAAGCTTGCAATCGACGGTGGAATAGGCTACAAACGATCGAAGCGAATCTCATGCCGTGCGTGACATTCGGAAGCGACGCAGCGACGCCCGAAACGCGAAATCACAAGGTACGTTCGCAGCACTGGATAGGCTAGAATGGCTCGTGGAATTTCTGTCGTCCATCGTTAGATCAAACTAAGCACAACTAGTATATTTCTTGCGATCTGAGAAAACTGGGACCTTCTGAGACGATCGTGGGGAGCCTTGGACTCTGCTCGCCAACTACGTTTTGGGGCGGTGTGACGTTACCGAAGCTCAGTACCTCCGTGTCCATATCGGGGACTCACCCGTAAACAAGGGACCGAATGGGTTCCGAAACGTGGGAATTCTTTTTATTAAACTTACAGTAAGAATTATTTTTTATCCGCTTCCTAAACAGGCAGAGAGCTGCCCAACCTTTACCTTCACCACTTCTAACCTGCGTATATATTTTAATGTGTTTCGTATTCGTTTTTTTAAATTATTTCCGTGGATTTGACATATTTCTGACAATTTTATAAGCGAATATTGGTTACAAATAACACGTAGGTTTTATTTTGCAAATATCACAAAATTTACCGTTTTTGGTTCGTGGTTACGAGAGAACGCAACGGCAACGCACTCTCCACCAGACAAGAGAACGCAGCTGTGTGGACAACCATCGAGCTGTCATATGGCCTGCCAATAACCGCGAGTGGCCATTGCATGCGCCTGGCTCACCCTTGTAGACGGATCCGTTGGAGATGTACTGGTCCGGCAGCAGCTTGACGTAGCGGGTGCCCAGCACGAAGGCCAGTGCGGCCAGGACGACGCAGTCCGCCACGCCGATGACGGCCAAGATGTAGGCCCAGCGGATGCCGCACTGGCCAGGGTCGTAGTCGCCGGCGTCTGGGCCGCATACGTCGCGCACCACGGACACGTCCCAGCCGGCAGGGAAGGTGAGCACGCCGATCACCATGCACACCGCTGCACGAGAGAAAGCCAGAGTTCCACATGAGTACGTGCGTGTCATCTTGCTATTCAGAAACAAGCACCAGAACAGCCCACGTCCATGAGCTTCCCACCACGAAAGGCTAAAGCCGCGGTCACCCAGCCAATACAACATACAGCAGACAGTCTGCATACACTGTCTACGGCGAGTTTTTTTGTTGTACGAAGTTCCCGTCTATTGGTCTGTCACAATGTCTGCAGAAAACACCTTGTTTCTTGTATGATTATAAAAATTGGCTTGTTTGTATGCTTATACAGCCTAGAACTTGGTCTGCCTCAAAGGGAGGCAGACCAAGTTCTAGGCTGTATAAACACACAAACAACCCAATTTATAATCATACACATATGATTATATGAGCAGTGGTGTCTGCGGCCTAAAAACGGTTGCACCGAAATGCGTCAGGTTTTCTTGTTTGTTTCCTATATAGATCGTGCATTCATTGTGGCTTGCGGACCCTGCGAACGCGGGCTCAGTCCATGTTCGAAGTGACGGTACAAGCTCATGCATATACGATCTACGGAAAGTCTATATAATACACGAGCAGCTCCTTGGACCACAAAAGTAAAGACTACATACGCCAACACCAAGGACGGCTCCATAGCCTCGTAGGACGCCTAGGAGACTCGTGCTCAGTGAGCAGATCTTGCGCGCGTAACACGAATCATTATTCGTGTTTGCGAAAATAGTCAGGTTCAATTGGGAAAGCTCCCAATCCGGTACCACGTCGATGTGCGAGGACACCGCAGGCTTATACAGACAGCGCTCAACAATGACAATCTGCATCTGCTCATGATCTGGTAGCACGTGAACTTCCATCGTGCAACTTGAGGTTACATGCAGTCAGCTAAAGCATGAAATGCACGATGTTATGGTCCAAGTATCGTAACATAAATTGCGGAAAAGCCAACTAAACGAAATGGTTGCTGTATTAATTAGGGCTCGCCGCACGTTCTTTCTAAGCGTCCATGGCTATCGCAGTTCAAGATTACGCCATGGGTGTGTGTGCCATGTTCCCATAATGAATTCGTTTCGTACGTTTTTCTATTCTGAATCCACAAGAGCCATCACCGCTCTCACTTCTAACTGTCCGATTACGTTGTCGTTGAATATTGCGTGCTTCGTACCATTAAATGCACGCCGTCAGCTTTGGTGATCAGTCAAAGAAACTAACTAAAATATGGCAATATTCGTATACGTTTTATCACAATAGTGAAAACACAAGCCTGGCAACTACGATGGAACCTGCTACATGTAACAGGTTTAAATTTGCTCGTCACAAGCCAAAATTCTTAAACTGATTCTTGGACTAATAAAACAGACTAAAAGAAAACAAAAAAACATCGTTAACACCATGCGTTTGTTTTCTGCTACAATATTTGTAGCTAAATGAGATTAAAACTTTATTTTGTTCAGTATCTCTATAACTGACTCTTCGATACGTATACATGCCAGGTACGGGTTATCCGCATCCTCCAGATGTAGACAATGTTATCAAAGTTGTAACAAGACTTCGCTGACATACAATAACTAAATATAGTTGGCCACGTCAATTTTATGAGTGAGGAACGACTCTTTCGCATAAAAGTATCTCGAAAAAGAAAAATCAACAGTAATAAGATGACGAAAATTGTAGGGAAGAAAACTCGAGGTGGTATTCAATCACTCAGGACTGACACTAACTAGTCACTTTACCGGGTGATGCCCCTCTTACTCCTCCCGAGACGTCAGCTTAAACCGAGCTCAACGAGGAAACCATCCAAAACACGGCCTTGTGTCAAGTGTCAAATTTATACCGCGAGCCCAAAAAAGAAAGAAATCGAGAAGAAAACAACGAGCCCCCGAAGCATTTCTTTTGAGCGCATAGAAACCGCCCCCCTCCCCGACCAACCCCCAATTGTCGACCCGAGCGCACGGTTGCCGAGTACGACAGTGGCGTGCACGACGTAGCGAGGCTGGCGACCTGAACACGTCGTTAAAGAGCAGCAATTTTGCTCGCCCCTGTTCGCCTTATTTTTTTTTTTTTTGCTTTTTTTTGTATTTATTTGCGGCGGCTGAAAAAGCAACAGCCTTGAAACTTTTTGCTCTTCATTCGAAATTACGCCCCGGCTCTCCCCGGCAATCGAATCTGCTCGTGCGTTTGACAGCGTCCAGGGAATGGCAACCACTTCATGTTAGGGCAATGCAGCCGAGATACCCCCCTCCACGAAATAGGTGTTATTCGGCGGTGTTGCATACCAGTGCTTCTTTATTGCTTCGAAGGACGTGCGGAATGTTACGCTTAAGCAGATCGAGATTTGTGCTGTAGGTGCTAATGGTAATATTAACAACAACAAAAATCACCTTGCTGAGACATTCAGTTAAATGCTGAGGGTGCGATAGCACTTGATCGGGGTTTTAACATGCGGCCCTTTCTAGCAAAATGTAGCCGATATATATTTTCACGCTACATTTAGCGCAGAATTTGATGTCCTATGACACAATGGCGTCGTGCGATGGTATGTCACGTGACACTGTGAAGACATGTCACGTACCCACATCAGTGACCTCAGGTCACGTGAGTCATGCGGTAAAACCAACACGAACAAGAAAAGCCTGTCGAGAATTCCAATATAAAAATATTTCTTAAAAAAAGAAAATTAGGACAGGGCACAAAAAACAAACAAAAAAGGTTAGGTCGTCCCGGAAACGAAGTGAAGGTGTCTTGTAAGAAAAGGCGAAGAGATCTCTTCCGTATGCTACATGTTTTTCGTGGATTCCGAAAGTGCTAATTGAGGTATAATTACTGCTGATGGCCCTTTCTGCAGAGATTTCTCGTCAGCGGTTGCTTTAGGCATTTCCGGCGGTTCTGTACGGTGACACCGATGTCGTTAACTATGCGGTTGTTCCGGTTGCTAGATTGCGTGGGGTTTCTTCCGTCTAGTAATGAATACCAGAACCGCGGGCAATGCACAACACAGCCCACAGAAGCAATGTGTTACCTGCGTGTGCTGGGGCCATTTTACAATGTTTCAATGCATCGTTCATCAAAAATGATTTCACTGAAACAAACAACGGTGGTAAGCGTTTTAGTTGCTTCTTCTGTTGTAGTTTAAGGGGGGGGGGGGGGGGGGGGGAAGGAGGAATAACCGGAAGGGCTTTGGGTCTCCTCTTTGGCACAAGTCTATAACCGTCTAGGGGACGGGAAAGCCGTAGGTCTTCAGCTTAGACGAAACCTGCTGCTGGTCTTAGGAAAGTGCTTTACGCTCGGTTAATGTTGGCCGCACTCGCACCCGCAACACAGTACCAAACAAGACGCGATCAAAAACTTTTGAAGAGCTTCCAGTGCCGATGTGAAATAAACGGCAGGTACTTCGTGTAGGCATCAGTATAATCACCGCTTGGACGCGAGCCTTTTACTTGGACACTGTAAACATGCAGGATGTTGAACGTGCTAATGACCAGACCCACCGACAACAAAATGACCTCTTCGCCCGCAATCGGCAAAGTGGCGCAAGACATCGCCCGATTCGGATGGGTCAGCCGTTTTCTTCCATCTATCCATCGCGTAGAAATTCCGTGTTTGTCTATAAATTCTTTTTTACGCGTAGGAAAACAACAACAAAAAAATTGTTAAGGATTCTTTACATTTCTGTTGATAATACGACTTCTCTTCAAAACTTAACAATGCGCCTATATATTGCGTACAGACACTCGCCTTATTTTTATCCTAACTCAAATTTCAATTGTCGTAAAATAGCTCGAATTATTTTTGTTTCACGCCAATAAACAAACGCACTTTAAAGCCAGGCGTGTTCCGAGCTACTCTCGTCTTGAAGGAAAGCCGAGTCATCATAAAAACAACAACAACAACAACAACAACAACAGCAACAGCAACAACAACAACAACAACAAAAGCTCTACTTCCTCAGATCGCGACGAGATATAATCAAACGTTCGATTGCAACGCAAAAAAGCGGACTGACAGCCCGTCAGGCGTCATAAAACCGCCTTCATGTCCCACCAGACCCGCATCCGCATACACGAGAGTTCAAAAGAGGCCCGATAACATTCGAAAGGACTCCGACGATGCGTTTCCGTTGACTTCTGGCAGCTTTCAAGCACCGAAATAGTAGCCAGCCGCCCGCTGCTGCCCTGCCGACGTCGTACGGACATACTCCGTCCGGAACACAAAAGCAACCCGCACGCAAACGCGCGGACGAACACGCACGCGCGCACGCGTGTTCTCGCAATGCTGATACACGTGACGAGTTGTGCACCGTCGCAATGCTATAACACCCCGGAGACGTCTCCCATGTCCCGAAATAGTCGGAGACAAAAATAAAAAATAAATAAATAAAAGCGCGACCATGAGGCTGCGCACCCCAAAAAGTCACCGTGAAGGAGCCCACTGGTACGGGTCACACTGCGGAGGACAAAAGAGCCACGGGCGCCGCTTTTATTTCCTGGACTCGGTTCATCTCTAAAGCTGACAATGGGGTGGAAGCTACGTCCTCCTTGGACCAGTCGTGCGTCCGTCTTCCATCACGTGATCACGCCTCTCTCGCCCATACCCATGCGTTGAGAGCGGGGTCAAGGGATGAAAGGGATGCTGTCCATTGGTCCGGCGAGGACGTATACCTTTCAACGCACTCTCAGCTTAGGTGTGAACGGAGAGTAGTACCTCTTGCTCCCATGCATGCTTGCGAGGACGAGATCGGAGACAGAAAATACTACGGCGCTTGCCGAGAACTAGGGGGGGAAAGATTGCAGAGGAGTCGTAGGCCAGCAAGCAGCAATGGACGACGACGACGACAAACGGGTTCTTTTATCTTAATGAATCCGGGTTGGGAGGGGTAGTCCTTGACAGAGAAACACTCGCATGCACACGCCAAAGCGGGAAGGGCTGGCTATCTGCTGCGGCCATGCAACGACTGGGTAACCGTTGGGCCTTGGTGAACTGAGCGTGTATAGTCTCTGCCACCGTGCCCTCCGCTAACGCCGTTTGATTCGCCGTGTGA